ATAATTATTTATTTAAAAATATGATTCCAACTCGCGACATAAGAGGTCTCATGTTTCAAAACAAGAGCCGAAAACTTCAATATAATTATTTGAATTAAAGTTCAAGCGAAATTTTTTTTGGGATAACGTATTTCTGAAATTTATGTGTTTTAAAAATTTGTGTTTTAAAAATTGAAATCAAAATTTTTAAAACACATAAATTTCAGAAATACGTTATTCCCAAAAAAATTTCGCTTGAAGATGGAACAAAGCTTACTTTAACTCAATTTAATTCAAATAATTATATTGAAGTTTTCGGCTCTTGTTTTGAAATATGAGACTTCTTATGTCGCGTTTTGGAATCATATTTTTAAATAAATAATTATATATATATATATATATATATATATATATATATATATATATATATATATATATTATGAAATGGATTAAGCCCGACAATTATTTAATATATTTTTTGTTCAAACCTTACTTTAATAGATAAAATTTATTTAGGTCAGTGGTCTTTCTTTTTTTTTTTTTTTTTTAAATAGACAATATTAATGACACTTACCGACCTGAATCTTAATACATTTCATGTTGTCAATGTTTACGTTAAGGTATGTTTCGTGAGTAGATATGATCGTTCGGGAAAGATCGTCGAAGATTTCTTGTTTATAAACAGTAATTTGTACTTTGCTAATCAGACGCTTCTCTATAGCTTGTATAGGACACAGGTTCGATTCCTGTTGGACAACGCACATTTTCTACGAAATTTCTCAAACATTCAGGCCGGGAAAATGTAATTAATAGTAATAATGTATAAATAGAATATATATATATATATATATATATACATATATATATATATAACTTGCATAATAGCCATATAATCTTTTTGCTTCGGGTTTTTCCTAATCGAGAAACATTTATTTTAATTCCATTTCAAACATAGGCAACTTTGGATCTCCATAGATAGATGTAAACAGATTGGAAGAGAGAAAGAAATGAAAATATTTAGAGTCAAGTTCAAGGAAAACTCTAGAAGTCCCTGTGTATGTGTGTGAGTCCCTCTCTCTCTCTCTCTCTCTCTCTCTCTCTCTCTCTCTCTCTCTCTCTCTCTCTCTCTCTCTCTCATTCTCTCTCTGTTTCTCTCTCACTCTCTCTCTTTTTCTCTCTCTCATTGTCTTTCTCTTTCTCTCTCATTCTCTCTCGTATTCTCTCTCCCTCATTCTCTCTCTGTGTTTCTCTCTGTTTCTCTCTCTCTGTTTCTCTCTGTTTCTCTCTTACATAATAGCTATATAAGCTTTTCGCTTCAGGTTTTTCCTAATCGAGAAACAGTCTTTAATTTTATTTCGAGACATGCAACCATGGCTTTCCACAGTGAATAGTGTAAACATGAATTATTATCCTCCATCTCATCCAAACATTTTCTTTTATTATCCTTTCTCCTGAATAACGTTTTCTCTGTTTCAATAAACACTTACGTGCTAGTGGCTTTTATCGTCTTGGAAATTTTTTTTTTAAATCTAAATATAAAACCTTTTTTCTTTCTCATTACAGAAAACCGTATAATGAAGACTTGTCAGAAAGATCCGTTGCGGCAAAAGGGCGGTTTCATTCAAAGTTCAAAATACCCTTCTATGTCAAGATACACGCTATGCGAGTGGAAGATTCTTGTTCCGACGGGGGAGTACGTTTTTTTACGTCTTCATGACACAATGTTGAAATCTCAGAACAGTAAAACCTGTACTAGCGGCCTTAAGGTGGAAACGGACGCACAGTGCGAGGGAGTTAATTTCACCAGCGACATCATTTGCAACAATAAGGACGATTCGAAGCCGCAGAACATCGTTGCTTGCGGAAATGTCAGCCTGAAACAAGTCTACAACAAATATATGGACAGTAATTTTCGGTTTTGGATTTCTTTTGAAGGTATGCAAAAATACAAAAGATATTTTATTGTGTTTCAATCTTAACCTCTTCAACTAATATCTATCCAATATATCAGGGGTGGCCAAACCGCGGCTCACGAGCCGCATGCGGCACTTTGACATTTAATATGCGGCTCGCGAGCCGCATGCGGCACTTTGACATTTAATATGCGGCTCGCGAGCCGCATGCGGCACTTTGACATTTAATTTGCAGCTCGTGGATATCTATCGTATATATCAGCGGTGGCCAATCTGCAACCCGCTAGCCACATTCGACTCTGACATTTAATATGCGACTCGTGGATATCTATCCTATATATCAGGAATCTCCAACACGCGGTCCGCGAGCCACATGCGTCTCCTTGCCATTTAATATGCTGCTCGTGGATATCTATCCTATATACCAAGACTTCCCAAACTGCGGCTCGCGATCCACATGTGGTTCTTTGACATTTAAAATGCGGGTCCTGGTTATCTGTCGTATATCTCAGGGGTAGCCATGCCGCGGCTCGTGAGGCTATTTGATCTTTAATATGCGACTCCTGGATATCTTTACTATATATCAGAGGTGGCCATACCGCGGCTCGCGAGCCACATGCGGCTCTTTGAAATTTAATATGCGGCTCGGGGAAATATATTTGCTGAGCTGCTTTTTTCATTACATTTAATATAAAAAGTTAAATAAAAGAAAGCTTTATATTTATTTATTTACTGGGTATGAATTGAGATCCCATTGGATTAAAACAAGGTTATTAAAAATATTTGTGAATTCAAATCCTTATTTGCTACATGTGAGTGAGACATTGTTCTTTAGTGCTGAGGAAACGAATGGCGGAAGGCAGAGAGATTAAAGAATTTTACGGTCAGCAATGGTTAGAGAGTAACGTCAGAAGACTGAGCTCATGCGTAAAGGGATTAAGATTACCGCACTCACGTCATGTACATTAATGCAGTGTAACATAAGATGTTGAACTGTTCAGACCTAGTTGGTACGCTTCGGATACAAATTTTGTTTAAAAGGGTTTGTGAAAATTTTATGAAGGAAGATGGTCCCCTCAAATTGTAAGAAACTAAAATATGAAAGATAAAAACAGAAATTTTAAGCCACAGTGGGAGGAAGATTTTGATTTAACCGTTAAAGGAGATAAATCTTTGTACCTTATCATGTGTCACATGTGTAAATTTTGTTCATGACTTGTGGTTCTCAAAAATCTGAACTTTATCGTATGTGGCTTTTACCGTAAGCAATTTTGGCCACCCCTGCTATATATCCTCATAATATGCACACCTTTCTCCCCTATAAGATTTAGATTATTTTTATCATTGTTTTCATAGTCATACACCAGTACCCAAGGTGACAGACGTACCTTATATGCCGGACATTTTTTCTATTGGATAATTTTGTACCCTGTCCCACACTGACCTTTCAGGGACACCTCCAAATGTCCTGTACTTAGTTCATTTTCAAATTTCGTAATAAAAATATATTTTTACTATCTTCTTACGGTTCTTGGTTGTAACTTTATAAGTAATTATATTTTTTTTTTCTTAGTTTCTCTTGGGGAAAATAAATCAAAATGTAAAGAGGAAACTCTTGCTGCTCGATGTTCACACAAAACTGACGTTTTTATTTTTTCTGTTGTCTGTATTCAATATTTTCCAATGATTCCACTTTTACAGAATTTCTTTTTCTTACCTGCTACTAAATAATTTTCAAACAATTTTACTTTTATTTTTCTCATAACCCAAAAAAGCATTGCTTTATGTTTTTATCTTATGTCTCTCCTTTTATATAAGATGTTCGTCTGGGTGTGTAAGCATATATATATATATATATATAAGCAAGTGTAAATGGATATAAATCCGACAGAATGAAGAAATTTTGAAAAAACAAACAAAAATCCTTAAATGTAGTTAAATGAAAGAAATATCGACGTCTGACGTTTCGGTTTATTAAACCTTTTTCAAGACAATATTCATCAAAATACAATTCAGTTCAATATGACAAATACGATGGACATAAAAACACAAGTCTTATTCAGAACAGATAACTGAAAATTTTTAAAATGATCAGCCTTCCGTCTAACATGGTCACGCTGTCGTCACATGGGCGACGCTTTCATAACGTATTCCTAAAAGTTTGTGATTATTTTGAAATGAAAAAGAAAAAGAAAATGTTCGAAAACACGAGATTTTAAGGACCTACCTGTTTATATGTTACTGAACATAAACGAGATATTCGTCTCGGTAATTTTAACAATGCTTTAGTTGTACACACAACTAAAGCAGATCATAATTTCGATTTCGATTCCGTGAAAGTATTAAAATATTTTCATAATAAAAATCTCAGGAGGATTTATGAAGCAGGTATAATATCCATCTCACGCACGGTGAATACTAGACCTGGTTTCTTTAATATTTCCCCTTTTTTAGCGAGATTGATGCTCGACAAGCATACACATAAGAATTTTAGAACCTAATAGAATTCTTTTCATTTTCATTTTAACTACATTTATGGATTTTTGTTTGTTTTTCAAAATTTCTACATATATATATATATATATATATATATATATATATATATGCATAGCATAATGAGAAGCCACGTATACTTTCTTAATATGTATATATAGAAAAAGTTGCAAATTAAAAAAATAATAATGTTTTATTTTATGAAAGTATTTATTTATTTATATATATATTTGATATTTCAAATTGTCCTCAATCTTTCATCAGAAATAACTGTTTGTTACAAATAAATTAAAATTACTGTTTGTTAGCAAGTAGCGTTCGTCGCGAGACGCGGACGTCACGTGATATGGAACGTCACTGTTCGGATATTCCTAACTTAAATCTAAGTGTCATAAATATTTTAAATGTTGTTTAAAATTTTTTTTTTTAACTATATCTAAAAAAATTGCTTAACTATTGAAATATTTATAAAGATTTAAAACACCCAAGTCCCTATTCAACCCTAGTTTATGCGTATTTAATTTTAAAATCCAATATGTTTCTTTTTTTCTGCGTGTGTATGTAGAACTTAAATCGGAATCTATCAATAAACATTTGCAGTTTTCTAATGAGTGTCCTGATTGATTAATATATATATATATTTATATATATATATATATATATATATATATATATATATATATATATATATATATATATATAGAGAGAGGGGAGAGAGATTTTAAGAGTGTCCCGTATTTCTAATTTCCTAATCTGGCAACCCTAGCCAATACAGATATAACAATCTACAGGTCAGATAACGCTATTATACAACTGTTTTTTGGCGATAAAAAGAAAAGTAATGTCAATAAAGCGCTATAAATTATACAACACATACAATGTGGGAATATAAATACCTGGACCAAGGTTTAAAAAGCTAGGAATTATATTATTGATTTAAATTGAAAAAAAAATGGTAAAATTTGCTGGATCTTATGCGTCTTGGTCTTAGAAATAGATTTTAGGTATCAATAATAAGGATAAATAATAAAAGTAACATTGTTTAGTATTCTTTAGTATTACATAAATTTAATCCGCCCAACAATCATTCTGTTCACAATCCTATGGCTCAAATTTTTATGATTCTATGTAACAGGGATAGTCAATATCTGTCTATATTTCCGAGATGAAGTATTATGTGCACTATTTACATAGTTCGGACTATGATCCTCATCTTTGTTGCCATATTTATCACACCGTTTCTGCTGTTGTACGTTCCGGCCTTCTTCAGGTGGTTGGAATGTTGAACTGAACCCTTTATTCCTCTCGCTGTGGTAGACTGGTCTAGTTCCACGTGCCATGTCTAATGGATGTCAGTTATCCCCTGTTAATTCCCTCAAGGACACGTGGCAAAGTGGAGAAAGGCGTTAGTTAGATCCAGACACAGGACCCAAAGAGTATGAGTTCAATACCTGGTTAAGGCAGTGGAGAACTTGGAGAGGGGAATTAACAGGGGAGATAACTGATAACTGACATCGAGGAAAGAAAGGAGTAGAAGAAAGTGCTGATGGCGTGGATCAGGTGGACCTCAACTTGCCAGGAAGTGACCCACATACTTGATTTCATGACCTTCCTCTGAGGCACATACGGAATGAGATATGCAGAATACAGTTATTAAACTGCAAAGGACTGTCGCTAAGTGTTATAATTTTGAGTGGCGCCTTCTGTAGCATGTCCGTCATGCGTAGCCCTTTTTATCCGCTGGCTCAGCCTCTGAGACCTATAAAAATAGGAAAAATAAAAAATTCAAAAAAAGAATTAAATTAAATCGTAAAGACACGCTTACAAGTAAACAATATTTGATTAACTAAGAAAAATGTCGGGTTAATTTTCTTAATTTGTTATTAGCAATACCTTTCTTCAGAATATGATATAAAAAACAAACGTCGATGTAGTAACAAAAAGACTTTTGCTTCTTAAGGAAATATTAATTACTTGCAACTATAGTTTTAGGGATACTCTCACCATTTTTTTTGATTTTTGTGTCGGAAGTTAAAATAAAAAATGAACCCTTCGAAATACGCGATTTTAAAAAGATTACCATGACACAACATTTTAAAAAGATTACCATGACACAACATAAAACCAACGAAGACTCAGTGCCACTTTTGCATTGCCAACCAACACTTTTGTAATTCCAACAAATACTCGGTGCCACTTTTGCGAGGCCAGCGAATACTCGTTGCCACTTTTGTAATGCCAACGAATACTCGTTGCCACTTTTGCGATCGGAACAAATACTCGGTTCCACTTTTGTGATGCTAACGAATAATCAGTGCCACATTTGCTTTGCCAACGAATAATCGTTGCCACTTTTGTAATGCCAACGAATACTCGTTGCCACTTTTGCGATCGGAACAAATACTCGGTGCCACTTTTGTGATGCTAACGAATAATCAGTGCCACATTTGCTTTGCCAACGAATAATCGTTGCCACTTTTGTAATGCCAACGAATACTCGTTGCTACTTTTGTAATGCCAACGAATACTCGGTGCCACTTTTGTAATGTCAACGAATACTCGGTGCCACTTTTGTAATCCCAACGAATACTTGATGCCACATTTGCAATGCCAACGAATAATCGTTGCCACTTTTGCAATGCCAACGAATATTTGTTGCCACTTTTGCGATGCCAACGAACACTCGTTGTCACTTTTGTAATGCCAACGAATATTCGTTGCTACTTTTGTGAAGCCAAGAAATACTCGGTGCCACTTTTGCGATGCTAACGAATACTCGTGGCCACTTTTGCGATGTTATCGTATACTCCGTGTCACTTTGTAATGCCAACGAATACTCGTGGCCACTTTAACAATGCCAACGAATACTCGTGGCCACTTTTGCGATGCCAACGAATACTCGTGGCCACTTTTGCGATGTTATCGTATACTCCGTGTCACTTTGTAATGCCAACGAATACTCGTGGCCACTTTAACAATGCCAACGAATACTTGTTGCCACTTTTGCGATGCCAACGAATACTCGTTGCCACTTTTGCGATGTTATCGTATACTCCGTGTCACTTTGTAATGCCAACGAATACTCGTTGCCACTTTAACAATGCCAACGAATACTTGTTGCCACTTTTGCGATGCAAACGAATACTCGTTGCCACTTTTGTGAAGCCAAGAAATACTCGGTGTCACTTTCGTGATGCCAACGAATACTCAGTGCTTCTTTTGCGATGCCAACGAATACTAAGTGCCACTTTTATAATGCCAACAAATACTCGTTTCCACTTTTGTAATGCCAACGAATAATCGTTGCCACTTTTGTGATGTCACCGTATACTCGGTGCCACTTTTGTGACGTCACCGAATACTCGTTGTCACTTTCGTAATGCTCGTTGTAGTAGTGTCGTGGAGTGATTTTGCAGTGGAGGCTTGTATTTGTACTAAATCGGTCATAAAATAGGTTCGACGTACAAAAACGTTAGGAACTTGGTATTACGCAGTGTAATCTCGTGGTGGTCGCTGATACTTTCGTATTAAACTAACTGTCGTCCGACACCGACTGAATGGCCGTTGACTGCCCGACTCGTTACTCTTACTACTCCTACATATTATAGGTGGGAGAGTCTATTAACTATAGCATAGGTGCATTCCACCATAACAATTAGAGTTTATAATCGCAGATACAACTATAGTAACGCCGTTGAATAATATTGTTGTCAGACGACTTCGAATGGCACTCACACTAATAGTACTTACTCTATAGTAATCGCTCGAATAGCAATCCCTATAGTGATCCGAATGGAGTAGAGAATAGCGGTTCGAATAGTAATAGAGGATAGACTAGAAATGACGATACATATAGTATAGAGGATAGACTAGAAATAACGATCGTTAGTCGTCATCTACTTCCTACATATATGCGTTTCCTCTATGGTCACGTGGTCTTCTTAATTCAATAATGGGATCGCTTGTGTTTGCACACAGGCGATCTACGTTCAAACTCAAGTGTCAGCAGCCACACTTAATTCCTATTTAACACAAGTGTAAACTACTCAAGTAGCTAAGAACCATGTTTCAATTTATAGCAATTGTTTTTTGCAAAGAAAGTGGTGCTCAGAAAAACGGCCATAAAAAAATTTTCCCGATGTGGATGAGAGAGTTTTATTTTCTTGCAGGATATAAAATTCTGATACAAATCATGTCTTGATAACATTTTTACCGATACACTTTTCCTTTATTAAGTTTTCTCGAGTGTGCATTCACTCTAAATCAACCAGATTATGTGGGTACATGCAAAGAAAAACATTCTCCAGCCTCCACTTCTATTTGGAGAAAGGCGTCTGGGCGACCTTATGGCCCTCCTCTTTTCGTGTAGGAGTTGCAACAGTGTTTTAATCTTCAGGAAAAGCTCGCTCGCTCCATTTTTACCGCACGCTTCTTGAAAGGGAAATTCGACTAATCCTGACGGGAAATGAAAGAAAACAGACTTAAAGGAGTCTCGGAAATGATCATGTGATGGTGTCAGATCTGAAGAATTGTTTTCCTTTCTGAAGACAAATTCTACTTCCTCTCACAAACAATTAGAAATCAAGAAACAAATGGTTCAACGGAAGAATAAATAGAAACGGTCCTTTCCTGAATGTTACTTGTTAAAGAGATGTCATTCAGGGTGAATTCTTCAGTGGATGTTCTACTTGAAGAAATAACACAGTTGTGATGATGACGATGATGATGATGATCATCATCATGATCATTATCATCATCATAGTCGTCGTCACCGTCATCGTCATCGGCATCATCACCATATTCAATACCATGTCATCATCATAATTATCGTCGTCATCTTTATCGTCAGTATCCTGTTCATCATCATCATCATCATCATCCTCATCATCATCATCACACGTTTCTTATAATACTCCAAAGGTTTAGTCGAAACCCGTGTTTCAAATAGACGCTCCGTTTTTGTTGTTGTTTTAAACTGTGTGTTACATCTATTGGCTTGCACACTCGAGAAAACATAATAAAGGAAATGTACTCCTCGATCTTCCGTCCCCCTCCCCCTCTAGGAGAGACCCCCAATCCAAAGTGCTTAAAGTGCCCCACTACAAAGGAGGGCGCAAGTCCAAACCCCATTGGAACGCTTATTTTCTCAATTAGGTTTTTTCGAAGGCGCGGGCCAATAGATGTAATACACACTGCTAAAAGAAAACAATAAAACAAAACAAAAAACAATACAAAAACAAAACGTAGCGTCTATTTCAAGCACGAATATCCACTAAAAATAATGAGTGAAGTAATCTCGGATTAAAAATATATCCATTAATTCTTTAGAATTATATACGAGTTTCAGAAGACTTATAGAAATGTAGATTTGATTTGTACAAAATAGTAAATATTACTGGCGTATTTACAGTCGCCTCTAAGTATCCAACCGGAATGTTACGTCGTTTGGTGAGACGACATACCCCTCTGCTGGTGATATTTTCAGCGTATTCTAAGAATACTATTTCTATTCTGAAAACAGGAAGAGGTTATGCGAGAACTACATGGATAATGCAACTAAAACCAGCAAAAGGTTTCCGATTAAAGAATGGGCGAACATATTGAAGCCACAAAAA